TCACTGCAAGGAAAACTTTAAAAGTAGCAGCTATCTGCCAAAGCAGTGCCAACAAGAGTAATGGGAAAGACAAATACAAGTGTTATGTGTTTGGGGGAGAAAATGGGGTGGGGGCCTCTGTTTTGGATCCATTTTGGTTTAATATGTGGTTTATTTAATTCTGAGATCTGCAAAAGGTGAAAGCGCCACTGGTCGCTCTAGGCGCATTTGTTATAGTTTTTGTTTTGTTGACTAAACAGAGCTGAGATGCATCCAAAAGGAGGTGAGCAGCGTGCACATTTTTGTTTTGGTTTTTTTGCTGTACATTTTCTGCTGTACTATTGCGCGTGCACTGACGTCTGAGGGGAAAAAAACTGTGGTCTTGACATTTGACCACTTTTGAGGCATGAAAACATTAGACAAACATTAGACAAACATTAGACAAACATTGATTTTGGAGTGAACTATCACTTTCAGACTCCATTTTTTATTTGTTTTTACCAGGAAGTTCCATTGAAGTCAGAATACCTTATTCCCAAGGGAGACACCTGTGGTGTAGTGTTCTGGAAATACCAATACTGTCTTCAATATTTTTCTCATTGTATTTCCTTTTGCCTTTTTCAGTTTATTTAACTTACTCTCCTCGAATTTCCCCCTTGCCCCAACCCCGACCTTCGCATCACTGTCTACTATAACATTGAGCCCACTACTCACCATTTAAATCTGTTTAACCATAGAGTGAAAAATGCCAATATATTACCTTTTCCCCTCCTCCCCAGCTCTGATCTATAGGACTCAAACCCTCTTGGGTTCCTAACCAGCTACTGTCAGACTAATCTCCTGCATCTCCTGCAAAAGCTCATATGTCTCTTTATGGCCTGGGAGAGGGATACCGTGAAGCTCAGCAATTCCATATTATCAATTGAATTTGTGAAGCCACTGAAAACCCATCAGATCTCTCTGCGTGTGAAATTACTTGCAGGTTTATTGACTTGCCTGTGGTATATAGGGGTACTTATAGTTATTATCGGTGGAGACAGAACACAATTTGTAATTTAAGTGTATATTGATTGGATTGGACATGGTACAGATTGACCTTTAATGTGTTTTCTCTGATCTTGTTATCCACAGTTTTCTGCTGGTCTTCTCCTGTCTGGTCCTCTCTGTGTTTTCCACCATTAAGGAGTATGAGAAGAGCTCCGAAGATGCCTTGTATATACTGGTAGGCACTCGGTCTTGCACTTACAGTTCATGAAACTTATAAGTAACACTGTTATGAATATGGGGCATACAACCATCTCAGCTCTGCAGATTTTGCTGCGTAGAGACAGAATCATTAGATCACTGATTCTGGTATTGCCCATATGTAGAATGTTTCTGGTCACAGGTTCAGGAATGGCTGAAAAATCACAACATTTACCTAAAATTAACCCTACAAATAGCAGTGTTGGGAGATTTGGAAAGCCATAGTCAATCAATCAACAATATAATAATATTTTTAGTAAAATATTCATCTTTACACATGCAAATCAAAAGAAGGCAGTTTATGGAGATGGGTGGGATGGACTGAGAGTAGCTGAAGGGTGGGGTTTAAAAGCTCATGTTGTATAATAGTTATGAAAAAAACAATATATAATGTATACTGTACAGCCCTCAAACTCAACTCTGGACTGGTTCCACTGCATTTTTTTATTGTTACCCTCTAATCAGGGACTGATTTAGACTTGGGACACCAGGTGTGTGCAATTAATTATCATCTAGAACAGAAAACCACCAGGCTCCGGGCCTCGCAGGGTAAGAGTTGAGTTCCCTTGCTGTACAGTATGTGTTTGGATACTGTCTATCCAAATGTGATGTATGTCAAGTAACTATATTCTTGTCATGTAACTACTGTGAAGAAAAGAAAGAGAGCAGTGTATGTAAAATGTGTGAAGAATATACATGTAACAAAGTAACATGTAACACAGACACATGGGATGAATGGGATTTATTATCTGTTAATTTCATCACCTATTCATACTTTAAGCAAGGAGTTGCTAATTGTTTACCTCAATGTTGGTTATATACAGTGCATTCGGAAAGTATTCAGACCCCTTCACTTTTTCCACATTTTGTTACGTTACAGCCTTATTCTAAAATGGATTAAATAGTTGTTTTCCCTCATCAATCTACACACAATACCCCATGATGACAAAGCAAAAACAGTTTTTTTTTTTTTTTTTTGCAAATGTACACTACCGTTCAAAAGTTTGGGGTCACTTAGAAATATCCGTATTTTCGAAAGAAAAGCAATTTATTTGTCCATTAGAATAACATCAAATTGATCAGAAATACAGTGTAGACATTGTTAATGTTGTAAATGGCTATTGTAGCTGGAAACAGCTGATTTTTAATGGAATATAGTACCGCGCAAACTGTCTCTAACCAGAACAGAAAGAGGAGTGGGAAGCCCCGGTGCACAACTGAGCAAGAGGACAAATACATTAGAGTGTCTAGTTTGAGAAACAGATGCCTCACAGGTCCTCAACTGGCAGCTTCATTAAATAGTACCCGCAAAACACCAGTCTCAACGTCAACAGTGAAGAGGCGACTTCGGGATGCTGACCTTCTAGGCAGAGTTGCAAAGAAAAAGCCATATCTCAGACTGGCCAATAAAAAGAAAAGATTAAGATGGGCAAAAGAACACAGACATGTGTTCTGGACAGACAAATCGAATTTTGAGGTGTTCGGATCACAAAGAAGAACATTTGTGAGATGCAGACCAAATGAAAAGATGCTGGAAGAGTGCTTGATGCCATCTGTCAAGCATGGTGGAGGCAATGTGATGGTCTGGGGGTGCTTTGGTGGTGGTAAAGTGGGAGATTTGTACAGGGTAAAAGGGATCTTGAAGAAGGAAGGCTATCACTCCATTTTGTAACGCCATGCAATACCCTGTGGACGGCGCTTGATTGGAGCCAATTTCCTCCTACAGGACAATGACCCAAAGCACAGCTCCAAACTATGCAATAACTATTTAAAGAAGAAGTAGTCAGCTGGTATTCTGTCTATAATGGAGTTGCCAGCACAGTCACCGGATCTCAACCCTATTGAGCTGTTGTGGGAGCAGCTTGACCGTATAGTACGTAAGAAGTGCCCATCAAGCCAAATCAACTTGTGGGAGGTGCTTCAGGAAGCATGGGGTGAAATCTTTTCAGATTATCTCAACAAACTGACAACTAGAATGCCAAAGCTCTGCAAGGCTGTAATTGCTGCAAATGGAGGATTCTTTGACAAAAGCTAAGTTTGAAGGACACAATTATTATTTCAATTAAAATTCATTATTTCTAACCTTGTCAATGACTACATTTCCTATTCATTTTGTTATATTTCCTATTCAAACTCATTGCATGTATGTTTTCATGGAAAACAAGGACATTTTTAAGTGACCCCTAACTTTTGAACGTTACTGTGTATATATATATATATTTAAAAAATGAAATATCACATTTACATAAGTATTCAGACCCTTTACTCAATACTTTGTTGAAGCACCTTGGGCAGCATTTACAGCCTTGAGTCTTCTTGGGTATGACGCTACAAGCTTGGCACACCTTTATTTGGGGAGTTTCTCCCATTCTTCTCTGCAGATCCTCTCAAGCTCTGTCAGGTTGGATGGGGAGCGTCGCTGGACAGCTATTTTCAGGTCTCTCAAGAGATGTTAGATCGGGTTCAAGTCCGGGCTCTGGCTGGGCCACTCAAGGACATTCAGAGACTTGTCCCGAAGCCACTCCTGCGTTGTCTTGGTTGTGTGCTTAGGGTCGTTGTCCTGTTGGAAGGTGAACCTTTGCCCCAGTCTGAGGTCCTGAGCTCTCTGGAGCAGGTTTTCATCAAGGATCTCTCTGTACTTTGTTCTGTTCATCTTTCCCTCGATCCTGACTAGTCTCCCAGTCCCTGCCTCTGAAAAACATCCCCACAGCATAATGCTGCCACCACAATGCTTCACCGTAGGGGTGGTGCCAGGTTTCCTACAGACGTGACGCTTGGCATTCAAGCCATATAGTTCAATCTTGGTTTCCTCAGACCAGAAAATCTTGTTTCTCATGGTCTGAGTCCTTTAGGTGCCTTTTGGCAAACTCCAAGCTGGCTGTCATGTGCCTTTTACTGAGGAGTGGCTTCCGTCTGGTCACTCTAGCATAAAGGCCTGATTGGTGGAGTGCTGCAGAGATGGTTGTCCTTCTGGAAGGTTCTCCCATCTCCACAGAGGAACTTTGGAGCTCTGTCAGAGTGAGCATCGGGTTCTTGGTGACCTCTCCCCCGATTGCTCAGTTTGGCCGGGCGGCCAGCTCTAGGAAGAGTCTTGGTGGTTCCAAACTTCTTCCATTTAAGAATGATGGAGGCCACTGTGTTCTTGGGGACCTTCAACCTTCAAATTGTTTGGTACCCTTCCCCAGATCTGTGCCTCGACACAATCCTGTCTCTGAGCTCTATGGACAATTCCTTCTATCTCATGGCTTGGTTTTTGTTCTGATATGCACTGTCAACTGTGGGACCTTATATAGACAGGTGTGTGCCTTTCCAAATTATGTCCAATCAATTGAATTTACCACAGGTGGACTCCAATCAAGTTGTAGAAACATTTCAAGGATAATCAATGGAAACAGAATGCACTGGAGCTACATTTTGAATCTCATAGCGAAGGGTCTGAATACTAGGTATTTCTGTTTTTCATTTATAATACATTTGCAAACATTTCTAAAAACCTGTTTTCGCTTTGTCATTATGGGGTATTGTGTGTAGATTGATGAGAATTTGTATTATTTAATCATTTTAGAATAAGGCGGTAAGGTAACAAAATGTGGAAAAAGTCAAGGGGTCTGAATACTTTCCGAATGCACAGTATGCACATGTCATATATTATATTGACAACTTTCAAAATAAAAGCATATACCAAACCATTATCATAATAGATAATATGCATGATCGATGATGATCAAATGCCTTGGGCAACTCTGTGATAACAGGAAGCCTTTGTCGTTAAACAGGAAATAGTCACTATTGTAGTGTTTGGGGTGGAGTACATAGTGAGGATATGGGCCGCCGGATGCTGCTGCAGATACAGAGGATGGAGTGGCCGTCTGAAATTCGCCCGCAAGCCCTTCTGTGTGATCGGTGAGTTTTACCCCCTGCCTGTTCTGAGTCATCAGTGAGATAAAACTGTCCACTAGCGGTCACTTAACCCTTTACACTCGTGGGAATTGGTCTATATGGATAGGGCTAAATTAAAATGTTTTTTACAGAAGAAATATAAAATGCATACGCATTAGCATGGTAGTAATTAAAAGGGAACTGTTTGGAGAATATGGGAAAATTATTAGACCAAAGTTGAGGACACAACAGTTCACCTGACACAAGACTGAATCCAAACATTACACTATTGATTTTGATGTGTATTTTACATTTACTGTACTTTTCGTTGTATTTGTTGATAAAGAAATCTGAAAATACTCTGGATACATTCAGTAACAAAATAATATTGCTGGAAAATGTAGGGTAGATGCAACATAAGACAAAAACAAGGGTTGGAGTGAGAGGACTAACTGGTGTCTACAAGTGACCACACACCTCTTCCTGGAAGATGAAATTGTCCCAGTTTTTCCATGGCCTGCATACTCACCAGACATGTCACCCATTGAGCATGTTTGGAATGCTCTGGATCGACCTGTACGACAGCGTGTTCCAGTTCCCGGCAATATCCAGCAACTTCACACAGCCATTGAAGAGGAGTGGGACAACATTCCACAGGCCACAATCAACAGCCTGAGCAACTCTATGCGATGGAGATGAGTCGCGCTGCATGATGCAAATGGTGGTAACACCAGATACTGACTGGTTTTCTGATCCACGCCCCTACTTTTTTTTAAAGGTATCTTTGACCAACAGATGCATATCTGTATTAACAGTCATTTGAAATCCATAGATTAGGGCCTAATGAATTTATTTTAATTTACTGATTTCCTTATATGAACCGTAACTCAGTAAAATCTTTGAAATTGTTGCATGTTGTGTTTATATTTTTGCTCAGAATGTACGTTTTTTTTATCTCCTAGTTGTGCCGTTGAGGAACTAAAGCGAGCACATTAAGTTGTTTTGTTTGGAACACAACCCTGGATCCCCGCCATCACAGAATTACTGTTGTTGTTTACACAATCCAAATATTGCCCATTATAAATCGCAATCTGGGTCAGGTGGGCATCATTTGAAAGCTTGTTCTATTGCCAACATGACTAGCAAAGTTATAAAATACGATCTTACAGTGTTAGGCTTTCACAAGGCAATTCAGAGAAACAGATTATAATTTTGTTGCACATAAAGAAGGATTCTTGAGTGCATTCAGGTGCTTGTGCCGCGGCGAATTTTCTTCACAATAGACAAATATGCTCATTCTTTTCAGAACAACCAATGGCATGACGCCATGTCATCTTGTAACTGTACATCAAACATAGTGATCATAAACGTTGACACTGTATATGAGATGAGCTTGATATGGAAATGTGAAGTGCACATTTGGACTCGCGGGTGTTTGGCTTGCTTGTATGACATTAAAGTGGTATTTAATATAATCCCTTAACGTCTCATCTTTCAAAATACATTGAGTCCTCTTAATTTACAGCATTTCCCTCACTCAGACAACAAAACATTTGCAAAAGTTGACTAATTAGCGGGAGGGATGGGGCAACTTCTTGTTGCGTGCGGTGCTCATGTTCAGAACGGCTGTCAGTCTAAACCCATATAGCGCTGTGAAGCGCAGAGTCTGAGCTCTGACGTCATTTATAGCATGTTACTATACAGCCACTGCATTCTAATTTAGGCGCTTACCAAATCTGCCATTTTCAACTCTTATACAGGTGTAAAGATATACGTGGTCTGTTTGGTAATTTATTCCATGGACTGCTTGGTCATTTTATTGCATACATATTGTTTCTTCTTTCTTCTCAATTTGGGCCAAATATACCCATATCTCTTCCTTCCCCTCTGATTTGTGGTGATTGTTCTAGCACAAAATGGCTGCCATGCATCTCCCAGGCCAGGTGGCTGCTGGCTGTGGGTTGGTGGTGGATGATGAAAGTGATGCCCAAACTTTAAGTGCTTCATCAAATCCCGCCTAACAATACTTATGGCTAACTCCCCGCTAACAACTTCTATCCATCAACAATATACAGTACTTGAACCCAATAAAACTGTAGAGAGGAGATGTTTTCGTTCAAAATGTGGGATAGGTTGTGTGCTGAACTGTGTCTCTCGAAGATAGAGATCCTTGATTTCCTCACAACTGAATTCTGAATTCAACTCTGTTGTCCATGTATTGTCTGGCAGTACAAAACATTAAGAACACCTTCCTGCACCGGTGGTGGATGACGAAAGTGTTCCACAAGGATGCTGGCCCATGTTGACCCCAATGCTTCCCACAGTTGTGTCAAGTTGGCTGGATGTGCTTTGGGTGGTAGACCATTCTTGATACACAAGGGAAACTGTTGAGCGTGAAAAACCCAGCAGCGTTGCAGTTCTTGACACAAACCGGTGCACCTGGCACCTACTACAATTTTTTTTTTTACCCATTTACCCTCAGAATGGCACACACACAATCACAATCCAATGGCACACACACAATCCATGTCTCAATTGTCTCAAGGCTTAAAAATCCTTCTTAAACCTAATCTACACTGATTGAAGTGGATTTAAAAGGTGACATCAATAAGTGATCATAGCTTTCACCTAGATTCACCTGGTCAGTCTATGTCATGGAAACCTCAAGTAGCTGTGGCTTTCTGTTCTATCAATATTTTATCATGTAGGTGAATATAACAGTGATCAAATGTCTTAGTTCCAACCGTATCAGGCATGATACGGTTCAGAATAAATACCTTCATACACATCATCTTAATGTTGATTGTTTTTTATGTCCTGTGATAGGAAAAGATAAATACATATAGCCTATATACATACAGAACATGCACACAAATAAAAATAAAATGTATCTCTTTCCCAGATGTCATGGTGCTGATTGCGTCCATCTCTGTGCTGGCGGCTGGAACCCAGGGGAATGTCTTTGCTACTTCTGCCATCAGGAGTTTGAGGTTCCTGCAGATCTTGCGCATGATCCGGATGGACCGCCGTGGAGGCACATGGAAACTCCTGGGATCTGTCGTCTACGCTCACAGCAAGGTAATAAATGGCTGGGGCCGGATCGTGTGGGTGGGTGCGTGCATACACGTTTATATATGTGTGCACGTGTGTGAGATTTGATTAATTTAACTGATGCATGTACCTCACCACCCCAATCTGGCTCCTTGCCCGCATTGCAGCATGTTTCTATAAATCCAAAATCCGGACTCAAGTGTCAAGTGTATTGATCCAAGTTCATTGATCACACTGCCATATGACATAACAGTGTCCCTTCCCCGTAACCAGATTGATTGACAGGCTGCTCAAACAAATAATAACTTCTGGGAACATTACGGCTCTCAGATTGTTCTACTACACCCGTAGCACAGAAAACAATATGCTCATCCTCGAGCTCTCCACGGGACATGCTGTGACCAATCCCATACCCACTATAATTAACTGTACCCTCCAATTTGTCAAAGGCTCCCGAAGCTTAGATTGCATTCCAAATGGCACCTTATTCCATATGTAGTGCACTACTTTTGATCAGGACCCATATGGCTCTGGTCAAAGGTAGTGCACTATACAGAGAATAGGGTGCCATTTGGGACACACTTGGTCTGATAAATGGAACACTCTCAGTTGGGAATTAAGAGTGTCTGCCTCTCCCAGTCCCAGAGATGCATAGCAGCAGAATCCCCATAGCGAGCCAGAGAGAAAGAGCAGAGGGCAGTGAAGTGCAGAGAACCTAAGGAGATCTCCTGTTAGAGGAGTGTCAGGGCAAAATGGATCAGGTCTGGAGTCTGACAAAGGCAGAAGCCGAAGCGGCCATGGACTATTTCCTCTTATTGAATTTGGCTCACCACACCGTGTCTGTCTTCTGCCTGCCTGTGAGATCGAACAGCTAGATTGCTGTGCAGCCTTGTCGTGATCTAATATATTAACAATGATAAAGGCAATGTTATTTCCTGGTCGTTGATCTTTTACAGAGCCTTGGGATTGAGCATGAGCAGAATGCACCAAGGCAGGTGGTTGTGATTGTTATTACTGGTGTTCTGTCTAAGCTTAATACATATTGTCGCTAATTACCTCATATATACAGTGCATTCTGAAAGTATTCAGTCCCCTTCCCTTTTTCCACATTCTGTTACATTACAGCCTTATTCTAAAATTGATTAAATAAATAAAAATGATCATCAATCTACACACAATACCCTATAATGACAAAGCGAAAACAGATTTTTAGAAGATCTTGCAAATTTCTTAAAAATAAAAAACTATGAGACTCGAAATTGAGCTCAGGTGCATCCTGATTCGATTGATCATTCTTCAGATGTTTCTACAACTTGATTGTAGTCCACCTGTGATACATTCAATTTATTGGACATTATTTGGAAAGGCACACACCTGTCTATATAAGGTCCAACAGTTGACAGTGCATGTCAGAACAAAAACCAAGCCATGAGGTTGTAGGAATTGTCCATAGAGCTCTGAGACAGGATTGTGTTGAGGCACAGATCTGGGGAAGGGTACCAAAAAAGTTCTGCAGCATTGAAGGTCCCCAAGAACACAGTGGCCATCATTCTTAAATGGAAGAAGTTTGGAACCACCAAGACTGAGTTGGTCCGCAGAGTGAAGGAAAAGCAGCCAACAAGTGCTCAGCATATGTGGGAACTCCTTCAAGACTGTTGGAAAAGCATTTCTCATGAAGCTGGTTGAGATAATGCCAAGAGTATGCAAAGCTGTCATCAAGGCAAGGGTCACTACTTTGAAGAATCTCAAATATAAAATATATTTGTTAAACACTTTTTTTGGTTACTACATGACTCCATATGTGTTATTTCATAGTTTTGTTGTCTTCACTATTATTCTACAATGTAGACAATAGTAAAAAAGAAAGAAAAACCCTTGAATGAGTAGCCTTCTAGCCAGTGCCGCTCCTCATCTCATCATTCCATTTGTTTTGTCTTGTTTATTACACACACCTGGTTCATATCCCTTCATCAGTACCTGTATAAGTGTTCCCTCTGCCCCCTTGTCTTTGTGTGTTATTGTTTATTGTGGAGATGATTATAGCTCGGTGGAGCTCTTTTGTATTGCCGGGATATTCTCCTGTGTGCCGTGTTGTTTTCCAGTGCGCCGTATTTCCGCACTAGAGTGTTTTACGCATTGCTGCGTACCGCTGTGTTACGGAATAAACCATTTATTCTGTGATTAACCCTCCTGCGCCTGACTCCTTCGCCTGTCTGAGTGGACTAATCCATTGTGGAGGCCGTCGGGGTGGCATAGTCCATCACTCTTAAGACGTGCTACTGAAATTATATATGGTTATATTACGTAAGAACAATGGTGCAACACTAATAAAAATATTATTGTTTTTTAACAAATGCGTTTTCTCCTGTGTTGGATAGCGGTCGCTATCAGTGGTTCTGAAACACATCAGTGTGCTGTTGAATTAGCGCCTTTTCCTAGACCATGTTGCTACGTGTATAAAAGCAAAGTTCACCAGCATATTGGTGTTGAGAACAATGCTGTGGAGTTAGGAGACGAGAAAACAGCCCTTGCCTTATTTGTCTAAGAAAAGTGAGGAGAGAGGAAACCCCAACTTAATTAGGTCTATAATCAATAGCCTAACTGTTAAATGTGCCTGGCTTTATAAATCATCCATATATATCTAAAGAAATAAGACAGATCCTGCTCATGTTGAGTGTTTGTTTAATAGCCTACTGATTCCGTGAGCACCATGCCTCACTGTCACGACTTCCTCCGAAGCTGCCTCCTCTCCTGGTTCAGGCTTCGGCGTTCGTCGTCACCGGCCTTCTAGCCACTGCCGCTCCTCATCTCATCATTCCATTTGTTTTGTCTTGTTTATTACACACACCTGGTTCATATCCCCTCATCAGTACCTGTATAAGTGTTCCCTCTGCCCCCTTGTCTTTGTGTATGATTGTTTATTGTGAGGAGAGTGAAGCTCGGTTGAGCTCCTTGTATTTTGTATTGCCGGGTTATTTTCGCTGTGTGCCTTGTTGGTTCCAGTGCGCCTGTTTTGCTCACTGGACTGTTTTGACGCATTACTGCGTAACTCTGTATTACGGAATAAACTCTGTTATTCTGTGATTTACCCTCCTGCGCCTGACTCCTTCAAATCACCCATCACACTCACACAACCATGACAAGTCGGATAAACAATTTCACAAATCCGGCAGTTTTTCATCTTTTCTATGCCTCTGGTATTATTTATAATTGATTTAGTGTTGTTTAAACTGTTCCAAATTGTCAGGAAAATGCAATTTATAATAATAATAATAACCTTCCTTTTTCTTTATGTCCTTATTGTTATTATTGCTATTATTGTTATGATCATCATTATTATAATAATAATAAGGAATGTCATTATCATTAGTAGGCTTAGAATAACAGCCTTGTATAACCACCATCGAGCTGTAGGCCTAAGAGTGCATCCTGTTTAGTCTTAATACATACAGTGCATAGGGAAAGTATTCAGACCCCTTGACTTTTTCCACAATTTGGTACATTACAGCCTTATTCTAAAATTGATTGAATTGGTTTTTTCCCCTCGTCAATCTACACACAATACACCATAATTTTGCAAATTTTAAAAACTGAAATATCACATTTACATAAGTATTCAGACCCTTTACGCAGTACTTTTTGAAGCACCTTTGGCAGCGATTACAGCCTCGAGTCTTCTTGGGTATGATGCTACAAGCTTGGCACACCTGTATTTAGGGAGTTTCTCCCATTCTTCTCTGCAGATCCTCTCAAGCTCTGTCAGGTTGGATGGGGAGCGTTGCTTCACAGCTATTTTCAGGTCTCTCCAGAGATGTTCGATCGGGTTCAAGTCCGGGCTCTGGCTGGGCCACTCAAGGACATTCAGAGACTTGTCCCAAAACCACTCCTGCGTTGTCTTGGCTGTGTGCTTAGGGTCGTTGTCCTGTTGGAAGGTGTACCCTGGTGGCACAAAATAATCAAAAGTCTGACTGCACAGAGATGCTTGGGAAAATGGTCACAACGGGGGACCAGCGTGTGTGTGTGGGGAAGGGGGTGGATCTGATCTCCATCACCTAGGACTTGACATTGGTTAATCAAATCTCAAATGTTTGCACATTTTTGCTCAATCTCACATGCTTTCTCAAACAGCTTTTACTGTATATGCATTTGTAAATTAGGTCCTTTCTTGAGTTTGGCTCTGGGATGTAACAACCGTTGAGCATCTGAGCTTATGGTTGATTGTGGGGGAAAGGGGTTGAGTGTGTAAGAGTATGTGTGTGTATGTATACCACATTGTTAATGATAGAAATTAAGATAAGAAAGATATTTTAATATATATATATATATATATTTTTAATAGCTATATATAAACCAAATTGAGGTGAGAGCATTATAAATACTTTTAGCAGTTGATCTGCTTCTGTTCTGTGGGTGGCACTGTGTGCTGTTTTCGAAGGATGGGTCCTGGCCTCTCGGGGGGCCTATGGATCCGGGGGGACGGGGGTGGTCTGCCGGTCTCTGGGATGACAACCCAACTTGAGATGGGGAGGGGCTTTAGCGGGTGGAATAGTGGAGAAGAATTGGAGGGTTACTTAGTAGCAATGCAAATATCATGGTACAGCTATATCGACACTCAATCACTATGGTACTTTTTAATGGTCAATTTACAAACATATATTATGATAAATAAATATAATATAAATTATCTCACTATGGTAAATGGTGAAATAAGGATAGCCAGTTACAATTGTAATGGCTTAGCAGATAATAAGAAAAGAAGAACAATATTTACCTGGCTCAAAGAGAAGGAATGTAATATCTATTGTTTACAGGAAACTCATTCAACAATTTTAGATGAAATTGTGTGGGAAAAGGACTGGGGAGATGAAATATACTTCTCCCATGGGCAAAGAAACTCAAAAGGGGTGATGATATTAATTAACAGTAATTTTGATCCAATTGTGAAATTATCCAAATAGATCCGCAAGGTAGATGGATGATTTTAAATATGTTATTGGACCACAAACAGATATGTCTCATTAACCTTT